TAATATCTTTGGAAGCATCTCTGATCATCGATCCCCCAGCTGGCACTGCATTAAAAACCAGCATGTTGTTGTAATGGATATTACCATATGGGCTCAGGAACACTTGACAAATCGTTGCCAATAAACACTGTTTGTCGCTGCATCCACAAATGCAAGTTAAGACTGTACTATGCATAATGGAAGTCATATGTCAACAGCATCCAGAAATGCTGCGAACATCTCTGGGCTCAAGCTCTGCTGAGATGGACTGATGCACAGTGGAAATGTGTACTGTGGTCTGATGAGTCAACCTTTCAGATTATTTATGGAAATATTGGATTTTGTGTTCTTCGGACCAAAGAAGAAAAGGACCATCCAGATTGTTACCACCGTAAAGTTCAAATCCAGCACCTGTCATGATATGGGGGGTATTATTGAGTAACAATAAGACATTTTGGAGCAGCATATGCTGTCTTTCAGATACCCATGCTTTCATCATGATGACACCAAACCACATTCTGCATGTGTTAAAGCAATATGGCTGTGTTGTCAGTGCAGGTGCCTGCAGTCCAGACCTGTCTCTCATAGTAAAAAAAAAGTCAGTATGTGAGCATGTATGCCTGACTGCACCACTGATCTTTACTATTAATTATAAAGTGTTACCTTAATGTAAAGTGTTACTGTAAAACTCACATTTTACTGTAGTAAAAGACGAGTCAGACAATAACTGCTGTCATTCAGGTTGGCAGGTGCATGTTGTATACTGTTGTGTCCTGGCCATTGTTGTTGTCTGCCTGGTCCTGCTGCAAATGAGGTCCTTGTCTAAGCTGGACCTCACATACAGCCTGCACACAGACCCATACAGCCTGCACACAGAGGATACAAAAAAAGAACCACCAGTTCTGTTACAACTGACTCAATCAGTGCAACATATCTGGAACACAGTGATGGAGTGATATGAGTCAAATCTCCTACTGCTCGATTCACACATGACAACAGGGTTTGATGAGAGAACGAGAGAGAGAGTGGGAGCGAGAGATAATGCGAGAGAAGGGAGAGAGTGATAAAGCAGGTGAAAGAGATGAAAGAGAGCGAGAGAGAGAGCGAGAGAGAGAGAGAGAGAGAGAGGTAAAAGCTGTGGGTTGAATACCTAAGGGAAGGGACCTACTGATGTGCTTATATTACACTGACTTTAGATTCATTTTGGAGATTGAAGCTGATTCTCTAGGGAAATGAAGCCTGTGGGTGAGTGTGTGGGGAGGAGGGGGGGCATCATCTGTTCTTTGATTCCAGCTATCGAGAATAGCTGGAGGGTGCTTAGTAAAGAGTGCAGTGTGTGTGTGTGTGAGAGAGAGTGAGATAGAGAGAGTTTTTGAATGTGAAGTAGGCTGTTCCTTTGTTCCCCTTTCACCTGGCCAATGCTGAGGTTATTATGGCTGTGTTGAGGTTGTGTAAGGGCCGCCGAGATAGAGAATCTATTATGTCATCAGAAAGGAGGGATCAACGAAGGACAGGGGATGAAAGGATGAGTGGAAGAGTATCTGCTCACAAAGTGCTGATCTTTAGAGCTAATTAAAGTTCCCCAATGGACAGCAGGCACTGAGAAACAAACAGAGAGAGGAACAGAGGGAGGGGAAAGAAAGAGAACAGAATCAAGAGAAGTGAAAGGCCTTCATGATCTTTTGAGACATATTGCACATTTTGCAGTAAAATAAGTGGCTACACTCATCTCTCTCGCTTTCTTTCTCTCCCTTTTTCACTCCTTTCTCTCTGTCTCATTTTTTCTTTCTTTCTAGTTTTGTATCTCCCTTCTCTCTTTCTCTGTTTCCCTCTTTATTGTTTGTATATTTATTACCTTTTCTCTCTTTCTGTATCTCTCTCTTCCCCTCTCTCTCTCTCTATGCCTCACCCTCTGTGTGTGTGTGTGTGTGTGTGTGTGTGTGTGTGTGTGTGTTTGTGTTCTAAGGACAATGTAAGTTTTTTAGTGAGTTTGCTCAGTCAGTGCAGTGCTGTGCTGTATAGGTAAATGAGAGGCAAGCACTCAGCAAACTCTTTAGCACACAGAAGACCATCACATATTTGTCACATGCACACCATACTCACAGTAAAACAAAGAATCATTCAGGGGTTTGAGCTCCCCCTGATGGCAGGATGCTGCACATGTCTAGCCAGATTTGAGGCAGCGGCCTGTGTCTACTACATAAACATGATCACATGCTAAAATTACTCTACAGCCCCACTCCCACAGCACACCACAACAACCATTTCTTGTTTTATTATGGTAAAGGCAATGATCTGTTTTTGCGATGGAGAATACTGGTGAACGAGAGGAGAGGGAAGGAGAGGAGAAGAGAAGAGAGGAATGTAATGTAAAGGTAATGTAAGATGGGAAAATTGATAAGAAGAGCAGGAAACTGAGGGGGAATAAAAGAGGAGAGAAGAGAAGGAAAGTGAAGGGAATGGAATAGAGGAGGAGAAAAGGGACGAGCAGAGAACAGGCGAAAAGTAGAGAACAGAAGAGAGAAGCGAAGATGAGAAAAGACAAGGGAATAGAAAAGGAGAACAGAGAAGAAAAGTGAAGAGGAGAGAAGGCATTAGAAGAGGAGAAAAACAAGAAAATAGAGACTCGAGGAGAGAGGGAGAAATGAGTAAGGAAATGAGAAGAGAGGAAAAGAGAAGGGGAGTGTGAAGAAGTGGAATGAGATGGGATGTAAAGAGCAGAAAACAGAAGAAAATAGGGAAAAGGAGAAGAAGAGAAGATGAAAAGAGATAAGATGAGAAGAAGAGAAGATTAGAGGTTTATTGAGCGTGTGTAGTTATCAGAAGGCTGAGCAGTGGTGTAAATGATAGTGACAGGTTAGTTTCTGATTGGCTTAGTGAGAGAAGTGCATGCTGCTTCTGTACTGTACACATTGGTACCACTGACATCACTGCTTACGCACAACAGCTGCTCTAGGGAGGCAAGCTACCATACGTGCATGTGAATGTGTGTGTGTGTGTGTCAGTCAGAACCATACACAAGTGTGCATGTAAGTGAGACCTATTGAATCCAATATCACATGAACAAGTAACATTCACAGAGTTCAGGAGATCTGTTATAAAAATTATGTTCATAGATTCTCCCTGCCAGGAAGTGTTTAGACCACTGACCTTCTAGTCAAACACTGAACCACTAAAACCAATGATTTACATGTTTCTTGCAGACATGTTTGAAAGAAATGCATGTTCAAATGTAAAATGCTCATGATAAGAATAAAATTGGAGGAAGTTTAAAAGGTCTTGGGAATGAGGGCAAACCAGAATCATTTTAATGTTTTGTGTATATATTGTCACTGTTATATCTAAACTTTGTAATTTTTCAGGAATATGTTTTCGTTTTATACACCATTTTAAAATGCCACCTGTCCTTTACGTTTTTGCTTGATAAAATCTGATTACACTAAGATATTAGGAATATTTGAGGAGTTTCATTCCAAAATGCCACATAAACATTTGTAACAATTTTGCATGTAATAAAAGAATAACAGCTGGTATATTTTCATATTTTTATAACTGAATTAATCATAATATAGCATTGAAATTTTCTTGTGTAGAGCCTACTTCCAGAAAAAAAAACTCATTAAGAAAAAGGAGATTCTTGAAAGTTGTCTATAGTGCATTTTGGAACTAAACCCTTTATTTTTTCTCATGATAGAAGGTTGTGATGAATCGGTCTTTGGCCCATCCTTTGGATTCATGTGTGTTAAAAGTATGTGGTCATTTGCTCAGCATATGAATGTGATATCTAATTTTTTTGTGGCTTAGACTTAAAGAAAACATAAGATGTGAGGGGGAAAAAATCTAATTTGCCAGTCTAAAGAAATCTTCTCTGCTGCTTATTTAATGAGATGCAGACTTGACCTCGTTAGATGAGGGTGTAGCACCTGAGCTCATCAGATATGAAGTGTAGACATCTCCACATTACTACAGTCCAATCTTAGTACATTCAGAACAAAATAGGAGGTACCAGAAAGAACAACAAGGCTTGAACCTTAGAAATTTACAGTTACTTTCATTGCCTTGTTTTGCTATTGTAATGTAATTACATAAAAATGTTTAATTACATAATTAGTTATGTAAGCAATAAAATTACATCAAATTGCATTTAGTTTGCATTGTGTATCTGCAATTGCAACATTTTTCAGTTTGATTCTAATTCAATAAAGGACCAAAACATGACAATAATGTAAAGGATGTTTTGGAAAGATAAAGATAGAGCTTTTTCACAGAATATCTCCACTTGTTTTAATGAGATGCAACATCTAAGGGTTAAAAGATATTACACATTTTAATTGTTTGGAGTAAGGATGTGCACGGTTACTCTTGTACTTAGTTAACTCAAGTTCATTGCGTTTTGTCTCAGGAAGATGTAAAAAAAAATATGCAGACCAGCAATTAAATGAAATGGCACTTTTGTGTTTTGACAGGACTGTAAAAAGTTTTTTGCTTGTATTTGTGAGTAAGTGAGTGCATAAACACAAGCATGTTTGCAAGGACGCATTGTTAAGGATCTGATTGAGAAGGCAGAGATGACGTGGCTTTATCGCTAACTATGCTAACTACTCTAGCTGATGTTAACTAGGTCCAGAAACAGTATAAATATATTTATCTTACAAACATGTGTTCTACTGTGCAGAAAACGATGATGAGAAGACGATGAGTCCTTATCAGCATCCAGTGTTGGGCCAGTTAGCTGTAATTAAGCTCATATCTGAAGAGGCAAATGAAAACTACTGATTTCCCTCAGCTTTTTTTAAATAATAAGACATGTTTTCAGATGCCTTCCACTGCCTACTTTAATATCAAAATTAGTCGGAATGCAAATCACTAGTTTGGGGGCACCATTTATGGGCTTGATTATGGCTTAGTGTAGCACCTCTATCCTGCATACTCCTGAGAGATGAATGAGCTTTGATGTAGACTCTGCTGAGTGTGATCTGATTGGTCGAAATGTTAACTGTGTCCTTTTTTGCCCTGTGCAGGATCGGCAGTGAACCTGACATGCCGTGCATTCTTTGGCTACAGTGGCGATGTCAGCCCGCTAGTCTACTGGATGAAGGGGGATAAGTTCATCGAGGACATGGACCAGAGCCGCATCCGAGAGAGCGACATCAGGTGAGGTGCCATGTCCTGGGGACAGCTCACACAGCAGACACATTTGCCGCCATGATGACATTTAACTGGAGACTGAGCAATGAAAGACTACAATATGAGAAATTAAATAATAATAAGAATACAAATGAGCAGGTTCAGCTGCAGACGGTACGCTCTCAAAAATGACACTAAATAAGAGCAATAAGCTGCTTGAGGACATCTGTTACAGTTATTTTTCCCATTGTTAAGAGGTGTTGTTAGGCATTGTACAGAAATCACTGGAGCGAACAGCCCTGAGTGGATTATTGTTTTTATAAAACGCCATCAATATGATCATATGATATTCCTCACTTTGGCACACCAATGCAGAATTCATGTGAATGTAGCTGGAAAACACATTTGTCTGGCTTGAAAATGGACAAAATCTAAACATGATAATGTGAGAAATATGCAAAAATATAATATTTTTTATTACCATTATTAATTCATACATCAAATAGGATGATTTGGAGTGATATATAAATGATTGAACACTATGTGGGTCTAATTTGTTGAAGAATTACATTACTGAAATCCCATAATCTATTATTATTAGTATTGTCATTACTATTAGTAATAATAGTTTGAGATGTACAACGCGTACAAACCCTGCTGAAGCCCCTGACTTCTTGAGTTGTTGTCCACCGTCTATGTAACATGTATAAGGTATATGATAAATTACAAAGTCTGTGTGTAACAGGCAGGGCAAAACAACAATGTTTCAAGCCTTATTTCTTTTATTGTTGTAAACTGATGTTTTTACTATTGATAATCATAAGTCCTTCCCCCTATTGACACTTTCATATTAGCTGTTTATTAGCTTTTAAGGTAATTAATTTAATACCCATCTAAAAATCACTGTAATGCACTGTAATGTATGTTTACACTAAAACCGTTAAGAAAAGTTAAGAAATGTTTTAAAAAAAATATATTTTCACTGAAAATGAACAAAATATATATTTTTAATTTTTTTTCTTTTTGTTTGTTAATATAACTTCTTAATCACAAAGAAGCAAGAAGGAGATAGGATTAACATTTGCTAAAATGTGTGACCATCATGTACGTTATAAGCTATAAGTGTGGGAATTCTGCGTAAAAAAGGTGTATAAAGAAACAACAACACCAACAACAACAACAACAACAACAACAACAATAATAATAATAATAATTATTATTATTATTATTATTATTATTATTATTATTGTTGTTGTTGTTGTTGTTATTGTTGTTGTTATTGTTATTGTTATTGTTAAAATTCATAGATTCATCAAAAGTGTACTAGATGCCATAAAGCAAAATATGTTTCAGTTTTGGTAATAAAATTATTTGTTGTTCTATATTGTGATCAGGTTGTCCGTGTCTAGCTCTGTGTATTTTAACTTGTCCCTTGTCCTTTTTATGTTTGTTTGTTTGTTTATTAGTTAATTGTGTTTGCATCAGGTTGCAGTTGGGGTAATTTATATTTGTACTCTTGTCATTTTCAGCAAAGGTCACTTTCAGAAAAGGTGGAGCTAGACACAGAGTTTACAATTTTATTTTGTAGCCGCCTTTCCAACATCTCCACTCCATGTTTACGTGACCTTTCCCCGTTTTGTACGGCCCTCCCTCAAATGCATATATATGAGGGAGAGAATTGCATTCTGTGTTTTTCCATGCACGCTGGGCATGAAAATGTATGTATAGGCTTATGCACTAATTTCGTACATAACACACAGGCAGAATGATTTCAAATTGTGTCTGAAACTGCCACAAAAGGCTTAGTACAAAAAATTGTGTTGCTTTGGACATATGTGTTTGGATAGTGTAGTCCGAAGTAGGGCAAATGTTGTGCAGACCATAATTTGTATACATTCTAATCTACATTAATTAAGACATCAAAACACTATATTAACACCTTAGGGATTCTTTTGCTCCTGCTCTCTCTTTCTCTGTTTCTCTCTCTCTCTCTCTCTCTCTCTCTCTCTCTCGCTGATCTGAAAACTGAAGAACTCTTGAATAATTCACTATAATATCTCACGCTGAGTGCACGGTATATCAATAATGCAGCTGATCAGCTATGCACACTGAGTGTGGATGAGAGAGGCTCCTCAAGGGCCATGTACACAAAACACTCTACACAACACATACTCATAGTAAAAGAACAGTGCAGATCACTTAACCATGGGGAACTGCCACGGTTCATTTCATCTAGCCACAGAAAAGCTCACTTTTAGACCCTTATGTTACAAAGCTCACTTATGGGGATTAGATGCTTCTGTCTTAATGCTCCAATTATTGCTGAATCGGAATCTGCTGTCCCAGCACTAGCTCTTAGTTTACTAATACGGAGCATGGTAAACATATGCAGGATTTGTTTTTAAAAGTGGTTGTGGTTTCGCCATTACCTGCAGCTCATTACACAAGATATGCTGCTTCTTTCTGTGGTTAAAACAGGCTGCATGCTGGAAGATGCTTTGAAACAGGGGTGTAAATCCTGGGTCCCACTACAGTTTGATTTCAGTGCCTTTTTTTGGGGATGTGATGCAATGTATCCTGAAATTTTAGAACGATCTGATTTGTTTATTTCTAGGGGGATGTGATATATGGGTGGAATATGTGTAATTATTATTATTATCCCAATATTTGAATTATAGCTGATAATTCCAACCAATAATTTAGCATACTATTAGAATTGACATTTGTGTAATCACTAGTGCTGGACACTTCCATTCTTTTTAACTCGCTCAAATGGAACCTGGTGAAAAACACCACTGGATCTTCTTGGAGGAACACTGCTGCTATACCAATAGGAGTCCTTTCTCTAAAATGATGCAGTTCACTTCCTAATGGTACTTTCACTTATCATTGTTAAATTGTTAATTGTTAAATATTTACACAAAATAATTTAAATGTATTGTATTTTCAATAATATTGTAATGATTTAAACGTCATGTCTGACTAAGCTGTCATCTAAGTTTGTGGACACCTGCTCATCCAATATTTTCTCTGAAATCAAAGATATTAATAGGCAATTTATCCCTCTTCTAACTGTCTCTACTCTACACAAGATGTTGGAACATTTGCTGTGAGGATTTGATTGCATTTAGCCACAATAGCATTAGTGAGGTTGCACTGATGCTGAATGATTGGTTATGGATCATAACCACTCCAGCTTGTCCAAAATCTGATGGTTCTCCATCACAATTTACTTCTCTACCCCTCTAGCTGAGGCTTGGCATTGGGCATTGTGACCATAGTCTCATAGCCAGCTGGTCCAGAGTGTCCCATTCTATTAACAAAGCTTTTATATGGAGATTATACAAGCTGTGGTTGTGCAATTGAAATCCTATGTCAGCAATGGGTGCACCTTACAGTAGCTGAATTCCCAAATTAGAAGGGATGTCTGGATACTTTTGGGCGTATAGTGTTATGTCTAAACTCACATGCACTTCATGTAAGTATTATAGTCTGAACTTGTTTTAAATACATAAAATGCAAATTAATTGGTATCAGCTGCAACAAGTTATCATTATTAGTAAATAATAATCAGAAACAATCAGAAATAATCAGTAATCAGAAATTACCCTAATTATTTTCTAATGATTCTAAATTATTTAACATTTTTTTTGCTCTGAATACACAAATGCAGCAGTGTGGCATGCAGAAGGAAAGGAGGACATGCGGCTCGTTGTTATGTGTGACTGTGGGTTCTTGATGTATGTCGACATGCTGCCACAGCTAACCCCCAAAACTAACTATGAATAAAATGCTTCTAACGTTATCAAACCCTTCCTCTGAACAAGAAAACGTCCACCACTTTAAGACTGCATGGAGGTCATCACAGGAATGTGGAACAAACCCTCCTGCCTCAGTGCTGTGTCATCCCATGACTTACAAGACACCTCCTCTTCATATTTGGTTAGTTCTGAGGGTCAGCAAATGAGTAGATCAGTTTTTAGCTGTGGTGAAGAAGAATGTTTTGTATTAATTATCCCATACCTTTCATATTCTTGCCAGACTTCAAACTAAAATCTGGGATTAGCCAAATGAGTAAATGTTAATACTCATTGTGTGTATTTAGCAAAGAAAGTTGTGCAAATCTAATGCCACTGTATGAAAAGTAATTGCCTATGACATTTTTGAAGTACCCATGTGAAAAAGGTAATACGTCTGTGACATTTGTGGATTTTTGTATACAAGCTATTCATTACATGTCCTGCCATGCTGCCTCAGTGGGGTTTAGGTTATGAATTTATGTATTGTATATGTATGCATTTGAATTCCACAGATTTTTTTTTTTCCCTGCAATTTCTGCATAGTTCAATTGGTTAGATGTAAACAAAGTCATTTAGAGTGGTTTGAAGTGGTGTGTTATACAAAAAATTATAGATTCCTTTACAGTGATGGTGATGGGAACCAGGTGTTATGAGGTCTAAAACACATATATAGCCATTTTATTTACTATTCACGACAGCTAGTGAAATGATGTGTTTCACTTCAAGGTGCTCTGAATGTGCTTCTATTACTTCTTAACTGAACTATGCAGAAATTGTGCGAAGGAAGTGGGGGGTGCAGAGACGATCAAATTCCCCTTCAACAAATTCAAACGCCAGTTAGGACATGTAATGAATAGCTTATCTTAATGATTTAATTAATTATTTAATTATGCAGAAATTTTGAAAAAATGATGGCATTCCTATTTAAATTACTTATTTTTTCTTATTGAACCATTCTCATGTAAATTTACTGAGTTTTGATTGGCTTCAGTTTCACCTTGCAGACAAATGATCTTCTGTTCTCCTGAGAAACTCCGGATTTTGGAAGTGATTAGGGTGGATTGTAGTTTCAACTTTAATGCCTACTCTTTTATCTTGTAGCCAGTTGGGAAGCATCACACACCTTCATGAAGTTTGATTGAGAAGAGTTTCATATAACTTTGTGATTCTGTGAAATTATGAATGTGAAACATGACTATGTAATATGTGTGAGAGAAAGTTTCACTGGGAAATGGATAGTTCTGCTGTTTTGTAACCAAGTAATCACTAAATAATTCAGCAATTCTGTGTCTTCACAACATTAATTTGTTAATTTTTTTAAGCTGCTCACAAAATTGTCTTGTCAGTCTTTGAGGTTTTTGGCTTCTATGGTTGGAGTAAATTGTTCTGAAAAAGGATGACAACATATCTCTCGGACATCTAAGTGACCACTATATTCCAAGAAAATAGTGAGGAACTGTAAATTTTCATTTATAGCCAATAGACAAACCAGGGTGTTCTGTGAGGCTGCTTATACATCCAACCTGGGTGGCAACAACCATAACAAACACTAATTAATGACTTGCAAAGAGGTTTTCCTCAGCAGAAACAGAATCAATTCAGCATTGATTGTGTTCAGTTAACGCAGGGAAATGTGGGTGTAAAATTAGATTAATAACGCAAACGAATACATTTGCCATTAATTATGGACCGGCACAGTCAGCATTTTGTGAGGTTCCATGATCAAATTATTCAGCCGTGTGAAAGTTTTAAGTGAATGCCTCATTGTAACTCTGAGCCAAACAATGGTGTTCAACAGAGTGTAAGAGAAGACTCTAACCTTTTAAAAACCCTTTTAAAAATTATTTTGGTGGGGTTAAACAGTGCAAAATAAGCTCTCATGGGCTTCCAAAGGACAAAAATCCAGGTTCAGGTTTAATATAAATACAGCTTAAATGATGTCCTCAGAATATTCTGTGAAATAAATATAGAACAGAAAGAATATTTTTAATATATCCAGTGAAAAATTTTGTCAGAAAATTGCTATTTACCCTTAATTAATAATTAGCCTCATTGCTAGTATCTTGGGTGTAAGTATGTGAGTTACCTGTGTTCCACTGTTCCACTTCCAGAGAGACAGATCGAGAAAGAGAAAGAGAGAGAGAGAAAGAGAGAAAGAGAGAGAGAGAGGAAAGTGGAAAGCAATGACGAGATGTTCAAATGGAAGAGTAAAATAGTCTCAAGTGAGTTATAAGATTGCATGCATTCCATTTGTTTTTTAGCAGATCTTTCCACAAGATGGAAAAATAGCACAACCGTTGCAGAATATTGCGTCACAGCATTAGTGGCATATTACAGTTTCTTAAAGCAATTTTGCTTGCTTGTTCTGTGTCCCATTTTTGCGCTGTATCTTACATTAGAAGAACAAATTTTCCTCAAAAAACACAAAATTTTAAGGTCAAAACATTAAGGTTTTTATGGTCTTAACAACATAACATTAAACCCATAGATAAAGTAATTTAGTGTGGCGTAGCTTTTCCTTTTGGTTTCTTTAAATGTTGCAGTCTTGGGGGTAAACTTGCAGAGAGCCTTTTACAGAAAAAAAGAGTCAGTATTGTTCTGTTCAGCATTAATGGCTTCAAACAGTTGAAAAACATTGCCAAGCTAGTTTGTGTATAATATGAGACCAAATAATATATAAATATGTGTGTGTGTGTGTTTGTGTGTGTGTTTGTGTTTGTGTTGACAGGACCATCCGAGAGCACCTGGGAGAGCAGGAAATGTCCATCACTTTGACGATAGACTCATTAGAAGAGGGAGACCTGGGTAATTACTCTTGTTATGCCGAGAATGGGAATGGACGGCGACAAGCCAGCATCCAGATCAGCAAACGAGGTATTTACACACAAACACACACACACACATACCACATGCACAAGTACACACACATGCAGTATTGCAGTGATAAATAAACAGCAGCAGATTTCCTTCTTTCTTTCCTCCGGGGCTCTTTCAGGCATACATTAGCATCTAAAGTTCCCTTTTAAAACAAACAGCTTTGAAGGCGCCTCATCTTCATATGGCAGTTCAGAGGAAGAGACAGCACCAGGAGATCAGAAATACTTCTCTCTCAACTTGTCTCCAAACACGCAGATAGGCATGCAAGCACACACACACACATGCACGCACACATACGTACATGTACACACACACACCACCAATCTCTTTTCCCTCGTCAGAATGCAGAAACTCTCCATTTCCTCAGTCTAAAGGCTCTGAAATGCTTCGCATTCTGTAAGCTGTGTTGGTGTGTCCTGTGCCTTTATGTCCATTCAGTTCTGGTGCAGTGCGAAATATATATTTCAAAGTTATTCCAAATCATAATACATTTTTGTTATCTTCCCTCTCATTATGGTGATTATAACTACAGTGTCTAACTATATCTTTTACTCCAATATGTACAGCTCTGCAAAAGTCAGAGGCCACCTTTTATTTATTTAATTTACAGTCAAAACTGTCATTAGTTATTCAGCATCAAGAAAAAATAAATATTTAACAGAAAATTACACAGAAGTCTCAACAACTAAAAATGGTATGATTTTTTCAGTATGTAGCATCTCACACTTTTCCTACATTATAGCATCCATTCTTTTCTGGAGACTAGCTTTCAGTTTTTCTGGGCTGTTTTTCCACACCTCCAATATTCAGTCTTAGGAGGTGGTTGCGTTTTCAGCTTCTCACTGTCCAAGTTATTCTAAACACATTCAGTGATGTTGAGGTCACATATATCATTTCAGATCCATAGCCTTGTCTTTGCAGACTGAAGGAATGTATAGAAACATCTATGGATTTTTTCAGATCTGAAGCTAGAGTGGAGCTAGATTTCCTCCTATCTCTCAATGATGAGAGCTTGAAGTACTGATTATCTGATGGTGAGTGTTGGTGGTCTACCAGGTCTTGCATGGTTGTTAGGAGTCCCATTTTCTCTGTAACTTTTAGTAAATTTTTGAAGGCCAGTTTTGGAAACCTCTGTGAATAATAATCAAATAATCAGCTTAAGTGTGGTCTGTAAATATGAAGAGCTGTACACATTAAAAATTTAGCAGTGGTCGGACAAACAGAAGTACCAACATAGAATAAAATGTGGTGCTTTGTTTAATCATGCCTATAATTCTGAGCTATAGTAAGTATTAAGTGATAGCTAAAAGTAAGTGATATAGTAACAAATATGTAAATTAATGTCATAGTTCCTCAGGCTGCAGCATCATTTAAATGGTTTATTGTTTATTTATTGTGCTAGTTCTCCAGCTGAGCTTTGTGTGAACTGGTTTCCAGGTTGAGTAGATGTCATATTTTCACAGTAAAACTGTGTTCATAAAATTAGTTCTTTATCAGGCTCATTAATCACTTGTATGTAGTTAACTAACTAATGTATAGATAATGCTGTGACAGATGAGCTGCTGAATGTTCAATAGTTTTTTGAAGTAGCCTGTGACTAACCTTAGTAATCTAACATAATGAGCTTTAGTGATTTTTGTAAGGGAAACAGTAGCTCGCTCTGTCAAATCACTTTATAGTGTGAACTGCGCAAGTAGTTCGGTTTGTCAGAACACGGCATGGAGGGATGCTGAAGCTGACTACCTGTTGAAATTTTAAGAAAATTCCCAGGCCACTTTTTTGTGCTTCTTTTTGTCTTTCACCATCTGCTCACATAAGTAAATTGCTGCCCTCTTCAGGCCAGCAACTTACTCTAGGATGGACGTCAAAGATAAAATATAAATCCAATACAATCTTCTCCATAAAGGGCCAGTGTGGCTGCAGGTCTTTAAACAAGCGGGAGCTCACATAATTGTACTAGTTTTATCAGTTGCAACTTCAAACAACTGATCTTGTGAACTTCTGCATTGTGAGAATTAAACCTGCAGCCACAGTGGACATTTACGATTAAGATTGGACATCCTTGATGTAAATGAAAAATCGACAACGGAAATATATGTCTGCAATTTTTTTTTTAATGTCAATGTTACTGATAATGCTGAATAATTGTTCAATCATTCATTAAGTATACTAAGACAAAATCTGTGTGAATGATGATTATGTAATTATGTTAAAATGTTATCGTACTGTTAATGAATGTGCTATGAATGCTTCATGTGCATGTAATTATTATAAACCATTACTAAACATTTTTGCTAGAGCTAAACGCTCACACCACATTAACTCCCTCTTTTCACACTCAGTTGAGCTGATGTACACAGTGGAGCTGGCTGGGGGACTGGGAGCTATCTTGCTGCTGCTGGTTCTGCTGCTGTGTATGTATAAATGCTACAGGATTGAGCTCCTGCTCTGCTACAGGCATCATTTTGGAGGAGAGGATACTGATGGAGGTAAATACTACGTTCCACATAGTCCTAAGAGTGATTCAACAGTGCACCCCAGTGGGGAGATTAGGCATAACACATCAGTAGGAAAAATGCACCCAAAAAAACTTTATACAGTTCATAATGCTCCCAAAGTGCTTTGTGTATTTTAGACTGCAAGGTTTCAACCCACTTTTTTTGTTCAATATAAAAATCACTCTGAGAGCATTACAAGCAGTGCATTTGAATTTTTCACACATTTTTTGCCTCGATGTCATGATTAGTTCCTTCAAGATTTTTTTATCATTTGCATAGCAAATTTTTCAATCTTAAAAAGATGTAGGACGGGGGCTCCCGAGTGGTGCAACCGCCTAAGCGTTGGCCCTATCATTAGGAGATCGCGAGTTCGGTCCCTGGTGATGCTACAGCCGTCCGTAGCCGGGAGTCCAAGAGAGCACAACTGGCTTCGCTCTCTCTGGGTGGGTAGGATGGCCCCACCTTCTCCCCCCATCACTTAACGCGATGCTAGTCCGCGCAGGCGTCTGTTAGCTGACGTAACAGATCTGGATCTGGTTGGTGCTTTCCTCAGAGCGCGTTCAACTGGCCAATGACGTTGCTTGAGCGGCAGTTCGAAAAGAAGCGGTGGCGCTTCACAGGTCTCGGTGTTAGCCTTCACCCTCCTAGTGTTGATAGTATCGTGTGATTGGAGGAGTCCTAACTAGCGGGTGGAATTGGAGACGACTAAATTGGGGAGATAATAGGGTAAAGATGTAGGACGTGATCTACCTCCTAACTGGGTGCAGGGTAAACCTAATTCAGCTGGCCATGTCTGTGACGTTTTATTGACATAAGACAACATGCAGCCTGATTATCTGTGAATAATCAGACTAATAGCTCAATCAAAATGGAAAACATTCATGTATACATGCATGGACTAGTCCAGTTGAGGCCATTTGATATATAATTTTTATCCAATTGAACGACATGGGTAATCATGTAAATAATCTGTTAAAAAGACTAATAATAGCCATGTAAACGCCTGTATCCAATTATATTTCCAATCGGAAAGTTTAAGGAGGTTCTGCTCATGTGTGTTCACGTCATAGCGAAAGTTATTAAAAACACACATGCACCAACTGAAAACTCAGGGAGCACACTGCTGCTCATCTCACACTGATTGGACTCGAGTGATGCTCGTTGTCATGATAACGTCTATACTAAGTAGTACTCTATGCATGCGCCTTAGTTTTGATCGGATTACTTGTAGTGTGCAAGCATACAGAGATTTTCCATCAGACTGTTGAGTGAGCATATGAACACCTCAGTCTTAATCTATAATCTGAATGTATTCAGACTGGCAAAAATCTTTGCATGTAAACATAGCCATAACATTTCTCTTTCTGTTTCTCATAGATCATAAGGAATATGATGCATACCTGTCCTACAGTAAAGTGGAGTTGGATCAGTGGGGGCAGGAGCTTCAGGATGAGGAACGTTTCGCTCTTGAGATCCTTCCTGATGTTCTGGAGAAACACTATGGCTACAAACTCTTCATTCCAGACAGGGACCTGATCCCTACCAGCAGTATGTGCTGCCCATGTGTCTTTCTATCTGTCTGTCTGTCAGTCTGTCTATATTTGTGTCCTGGTGTCTCTTAGTGTTGAGGCATATACATGCAAAACACTTGTCAGAGGCAGATGAAGAGCAAATCTAAAATAGACTGGCGAAGCCTCAAAGGCCTTGAAATTATTAAGCCTATGAAAGTACTCTAGCTTTTGAGGAAAAAGTTTAAAAATAACATGCATATTGCTGTGTTTGTTTGAGCTGACCAACCCACTGTTGCCAGTTACCTACTGCTGAGACAAGGCCAGTATCCAGAATTATTTCACTGAGTTTATAAAGTAAAAACTAATTACAGGAAACAAATAAACAAACAAAAAAGCACATCTTAAGAAACCAATTGTATACTATTCCCACCCAACACATAACTGAACTTTTAACAATGCTGTGCCTTCATTTAGTAAAACTAATAGGCTAATGTAGCTATAAACTGGGTCTGTACAAGTAGTATACTGTAGACTGTGGAGGCTCAGCTATGTAAACCACATCCGACAAATAGAAAATAATGTGAAGATGTAGAACATTAAAATATATCATATACTTATTTGTCTGCTCACATAATTCAGGTTAATCTTAATTTAGGCTTGTCTAGGCAGCCTATGGGGTCATGCTGCCTGTTGCTGTGACTGTAAATTATTGAAACCTGTCATTTCATAGAATATTACCCAAATACCTATACTACACTTATGAGTAACTTGTGTGCACTTCAATAATAATAACAAACTCTACTACTGCAGTGAAGACTACACAGCCCAGTCAAATTTTATGCAGAAAAATTTGATTTTTTTTGCTTAGACAGACTTTGCTACAACAGAGAAGACCCAGTTAATCTTTGCTGTGAAAAGTGTCCCTTTTTGCAACTCAAACTTCTCTACCATAGGAAAGAGTCTCTCAGCTCGTGGGAAAGTCAAACTCTGCAAAAGTGGTGAAGTCTCCCGCCCACATTTAGAGGAGTTGTAGCACTGAGAGAGTGTTATATGTGGAGGCACTGCGTGTTAAATTACAACGTTTACATCATGAAGTAACTTGAGGTGTTGTCAGCTATCACTGTGGTAATCACTGAAAGCCATTGAACCTTAATGTGCATGACAGAATAAGGAAGGAAAACTGAAAGGCTTCATAGTCTGTTTTAAACAATTTGAGAGGGCAACAAGCTACCACTTGATTACCTCTTTGTCTTTTATTTTTCCTCTTTATCCCTTTTTTGAGACCAACACACGCATAATGTAAAATACATAATGTAAAAGCTAAATGGTATTCATATGTGTCATCTTCATCAGTACATGTTATGTTTGTAGGCTGTGTTTGTATTGTTCAGTGTGTATGTCAGATGCTTGTCTTGTATGCGTGTTCATATTGTTGCCTGAAAAGCTGAATGTTTATGTTTAGGTCTCAGCAGTGAGCATTACCAGGATGACACACAGCTTCTTAGAGGTACAGTTTCCCTTTAACACACATATACACACACATGCACATAGGCATTAGGCTATGAATGTTACACAGTGAATGTTGTCTTAAATGTGGTTGTGTGATTTGTCCTTAAGAGTTATTTGTTTTCTGTCCTTATGTTCACATTTTGTACTATATTACATATAGGAATATCCTGATTGATCAGAGCTGATAAGAGCATATTGTGATGGACCTGAATTAGCTATATTAAGCCTGATCCAATTTCATGTTTTCTTAAAAGAAGAAGTCACTAGAAGTCAATGGTCACCCAAATCTTTTCCATACATAAAACCCTGATGTGGTTTAGGACACATTATGACTTGCTATGGACTATAAACATAAGAAAAACTTGACTGTGTAGCTGAATGCTGCAGGCAGCTATTTAATATAACCGGTTTTTAACATTTAAAGAAATCTAAGGGAAGAGCTATCCCATACTAAGTTACTTTGTCTGTTTGTCTAATAATGTGTTGTTAAGACCATTTAAAGCTTAATGCTTTGCTATTTGGGGCATGGCCCATTTTTCTGCACAGGAGTTTAGATGCTAGATTCACAATGTCCGATGTTTCTATGTATAAAAATCTATCTTCAGTTCATAAATGAAACATTACCAGTTATTTAAAAAAGAAACAACAAAAACATAACAAACATAATCTGTAGCATTCATATGCCTGCATTCATGGGAGTTGGCACCACACCTGTTATCTAAAATAGCTGCCCACTGCTTTTAGCTACACAAGTTATGTTTATTGTTATAGACCAGTCTGCACAACCATAATGAAGGCCTTGATGTGGTTAAGGGAAGTCTTGGACATGTATTTATAGCAAAGATCTAAATGACAATTGACTTCTAGTGTTTTAGCCTCATAGTCCAAGTTAATAACTAAATAAGCAAAATCTGGACACCACTCCACATCTAGAGTAAGTGGAAGATTGTGTATATAATAAATATAATAGATGTATTTATATAGATTATAATTTGGGTATATAATAGATTTTTTGCCAAACCATTCCTTTAAGATCTATTTACACCACTGTTGTAAAGTTGATGTAAACTGGCATTATCCACAGCTTGAAGCATGTTTGCAGAATTTAGCAAGTGATCTAAATGTCTGCAATGTGTAACTTTTCTAAGGTGAAAAATAAAAACAGCCTAACAGCCACTTACATTGTCCAAAAGAATCTAGACATCCTTTCTAATGAGTGAATTAAGCTACTTTAAGGTGCACCCATTGCTGACATAAGCATTCAACTGCACACACTAAGGTTGTGAAATCTCCATAGAAAAGTACCATGCTCGAAGCCAAATGTCAGCTAGAGGGGTGTAAAGCTCCTCAGCATTGGGATATAGAGCAGTGGAATTTTGTTCTCTGGAGCAACGGTGTTTGCTACGTTCCCCTCAGATGTATCTAGGGTCGGAGAGGAAATAACATGGCATGTGATGGGAGACGGAAGGGAAGGACACAAGTACACAGTAGTTGCGATTTCAGTCAATGCATTTTCTTTACTTTGCTTCCCACTTGCAAAAGTGTATGATACAAGAATAATATTTACAATGAAAGAAGCATGATACAATGAGGTGAGCTGAGAATGAGTATGGTTTTACTAACCATAATGTACTGTGTAAACTGTGCGGCTGTACTATCAGCGAAAGCACAATTATCGGATTGCCTTTGACTCGATATCGGTTACTCAGTATTAAATGAGACAGATTGAGGTTGAGGCGAAATAACTGGTTCGGACATCCCTGATCTCATGTGTCTGTTTCTCTGCAGCGTATATCGAAGATGTGGCACGCTGTGTGGAGATGAGCAAGCGGCTGATCATCGTGCTGACTCCAGGCTACGTGTTGCGGCGTGGCTGGAGCATCTTTGAGATGGAGTCACGGCTCCGCGGCTCTCTAGCGTCCGGCGAGGTCAAGGTCATCCTGATTGAGTGTGCTGAGCTGCGTGGCCTCATCAACTATCAGGAGGTGGAAGAGCTGAAGCAGTCCATCAAGGCATTGACGGTGGTGCGCTGGGGCGGCCCGCCTAGCAACAAACCTGGTTCCCGCTTCTGGAAGCGCCTGCGCTATGCCATGCCCTGCCGCCGGCCACCGTTGCGCCGCACGCTAGCTAACCCCGCAGCAGATGGAGGTGAACCAGGGCCCTTCGCCGACCTACAGGCCGTCTCTGCTGTATCCGTGGCGACAGCGGCCGTAGCTCCGGCCCGTCCTGAGCTGCGAACGGCCCTGCGCAGCTCCTACCGCTCACACTCACTAGCACGCCAGAAGCACGCACACTTCCGCAGTTACGACTATGAGCTACCGCTTGCGGCTGGAGCCACGCTGCCTCCACCATCGCAGCAGCACACCTACTGCAACCTGCCACTCACGCTGCTCAACGGCCAGCGACCCACAGCTGCCGGCCCCAAGGGCCTGCGCCAGCACAGCCTGGACGAGCCACATGCAAACAACAATGCCATGCTGCCGCTGCTGCCGCGAGAAACCAGCATCTCCAGTGTCATCTGGTGACCAAACTGCAGCTTGGCTCCTGGCTAAAGAGGTTAAGCCAAACTTCATAAAGCCCATATAGGCGATTAGAGGCTGTGCTGGGCTGAGTGTACAGGCTGGGGTCACTCTGCGTCCAGTTTTTAGTCCTGCTGGGCCTGCTAATCTCTTACTGAATCCACTTTTGAAATGAAATGAACTTAAGCAGTGAGGGATTAATCATATAGTGCCATATCAACTTTATCGGGGACAAACTAAGATGCACGCAGCCAAACCATGTGAACGGAACCAGGGTCTTGTGCAGACGTCTACTGCTTTTTCTTGTAGCATTGCCCCCACCCTGTCTCTATGTTCCGTTTCATCATGCTGCCTTTTGTTTTTGTTTTGTTAAAAAGATTTGTTGTCTTTTGTCTAATTACCTTTTTTTATTGTAATACTCAACTTTCAGTTGATTTGACATACAATGCTTTCCTTTCAAATCAGTCTGGACCATTTTTGATTCAGGCTTGGCCAAATCAGATGTTGCTCTTTTGATTTCAAGTTGCTCTATACATGTTGATCTAAGCGTCGATTTCTGTTGGCTTCTGTAGGTTGTGTATTTATGGTTTCAATTGGACAATTTGACAGTTTGTACGAGGGAAAAAAAATCACAGTATATGCAAACAGTGTGGAGGCCTCGGAGGGCCACTGTAGGAGGATGAGGAGTGGTGCTATCCTGTTGTAGCAGGCTAACTCCTGCTTGGCATTTTATAAGGAGGGAAATCGGAGGAGTGGAGCCCATCCTCAAATAATAAAGGGTATTTTAAGAAACAAAAAAAATCTATTTTTATAAGCAAAGAGCTGTTTCTCTCTGATATCACAGCATCACCAGGACAGCTGAGTAAAAGACTTGTGCGTTTTTGGGTATTTTATACATTTTTATGCTACATTGTTTTTGTTTGTACAACCTACAATAAAAAATAATGATGTCCTCAAATTAATTTAGAAAACAGTAGTGAGCTACTTTTCTTATGGTTGGGTTAAACCTACTGAAGTACTTACATTTTTTTTTGTATAACTCTTGAAGTCAAGTTTTAAAGGACTTAAAATTGTGTGAAGGTTTAAGTATGCATAGAGGATTGATATGTATTCTGATTTTGGATATTTATATTACTATGTATTATAAAACCACAACAGCCACTCAGAAATGAAGTGTTTATATTTCTAAAGGCACAATCATACTTGTTTCCTTTTTGTTTGTCACTGTGCATTAAAATCACCAACCTCTGTCAGTGTGTTACGTGTCATAAATGCTACAGTCCTACTATGTGTATGTGTGTGTGTGTAGTGCAGTTATGCGCTTGAAATCTAACACAGTAATATGGAAATCTACAACTTAGGGTGGTTATTTAGTTACAGTGTTAGGTGTGTAGCTCTCAGGTCAGTTCACATTGTACAGTTCTCAGTTTCAACTGTTGGACAGGAATTAAAAGAGTGTTTTTCAGTTTAGTACAATTTTCAAAATGTAAGAAGTAACAAAACAGACCACAAACATATATTCCAAAAAAAAAAAAACTAAAATATTATACAAATATTTGTCATGAAATTGGTTTCTCATGCATTTAAAGAATATGACTCAACAATTTTTATTCTTAAACAGTTTAGTTGCAGAACATCTTCATTATACAACCCCATTTCCAAAAAAGTTGGGATGGTGTAAAAAATGTAAAAGAAAACAAAATGCAATGATATGCAAATCATTTAAACCCTATATTTCATTGATGCTTCAAAGAAAACATATCAAATGTTGAAACTGAGAAATTTAATTTTTTTCTGAAAAATAAATGCCCATTTTGAATTTGATGCCAACAACATGTTCCAAAAAAGTTGGGACGGGGGCAACAAAAGGCTGGTAAAGTTGTGTAATGCTTAAAGAAACACCTGATGGTTAATTTGCAACAGGTCAGTAACAAGATTGGGTATAAACAGAGCATCCCAGAGAGGCTGAGTCTTTCAGAAGTAAAGATGGGGAGGGGTTCACCACTCTGTGAAAGACTGCACGATCAAATAGTGCAACAATTCAAGAATAACGTTTCATAACATAAAATAGCAAAGAACTTTTGCTTTTCATCATCTATGGTACATAATATCATTAAAAGATTCAGAGAATCTGGAGAAATCTCTGTATGCAAGGGACAAGACCAAAAACCAGTATTTGCTGGCCATGATCTTTGGGCCTTCAGATGGCACTGCATTAAAAACAGGCATGATTCTGTAGAGGAAATCACTGCATGGGCTCAGGAACCCTTCTGAAAACTACTGTCTGTGAAAACAGTTTGGCGCTGCATCCACAAATGCTAATTAAAACTCTAAAACGCAAAGAAGAAAGCATATATGAACAGGATCCAAGAATGCCACCACCTTCTCTGGGCCTGAGCTCATTTAAAATGGACTGAGGGGAAGTGGAAAAGTGTGTCCTCTGAGCTAAAGACCACTCAGCTTGTTATCAGCATACAGTTCAAAAACCAGTATTCATGATGGTATAGGGGTGCATTAGTGCGCATGGCATGGGTGATGTGCACATATGTGAAGGTTAATGCTGAACAATATAAACATGTTTTGGCAACATATGTTGCCATCCAGACAACGTCTTTCTCAGGGAAGGCCTTGATTATTTCAGCAAGACAATGTCAAACTACATTCTGCATGTATTACAACAGCATTGTTCTGTATTAAAAGAGTCCGGGCATTAAACTGGCCTGCCTGCAGTCCAGACCTGTCACCACTGATAACATTTAGCACATTATAAAATGAAAAATGTGACAAAGGAGACCCTGAACTGATGAGCAGCTGAAATCCTGTATCAAACAAGAATGGGAAAACATTTCACTTTCAGAAGTACAGCAATTGGTCTCTCAGTTCCCAAATGCTTACAGAGTGTTGTTAAAAGAAGAGATGATGAAACACAGCAGTAAACATGACCCTCTCCGAATTTTTTTGTAACATGTTGTTGGCATCAAAATGGGCATATATTTTTCAAAAAAACAATAAAATTTATCAGTTTCAACATTTGATATGCTGTCTTTGTACTGCTTTCAATGAAATATAGGGTTTAAATGATTTGCACATCATTGCATTTTGTTTTTATTTACATTTTGCACAGCGTCCCAACATTTTTGGAAATGTGGTTGTAGACTGCCCGCACATTCTGCTTGTTTGAAAGAAATGGGTTTCGTTTCCTGCAGTATCCATAAGATGTCCTCCAAATGGAACCATATCTTTACCCACTAGATGGCAATATTAGGACTGAACAAAGTGTAACAATAATCAGTTAGAGCAGTTTGTCACACAGTAAAGGAGCAGTGATATAAAAGGTCCCTGAAGGATGTATTGTGTCAGATCAGACAAAAGTAACGAGATGTGGGGAACATTTCTTGACTTGTCTGATAAAATTATACTGAGATAACTGACATCTTTAAAAAAAATACAAATTTTACATTTTGCAGATTTTTCTTCAAAATAAGTTAACAACAAAAAAGTTCAGATAGAAACTCCAACATCTAATATACTGTCTTTTACGTTTGCATAAGTGAGAGAAATGAACAAAGTGAAAGTTAACGCCCACACAAACATATGAGAATGAGAATTCAAAACAAACAGGATGTGGCCCAGGTTTTGAGGCTTTGAACTGAAAGACTATAAGCAACTTCAATTTCAGCAAACAAACACAATTAAACTTATTCAATGCACTCATTTACTTTTCTATGTTCTATTTTTATATGTATATGTATAGTTATAAATATTTATATGTATAGTTTATATGTATTGCTCACATCCAAAACAAGGAAGCTGACCTTTGCAGGTTCCTTGCAGGACGTGAGTTGCTCTTTCTGCTCATACGGGGGTGTGAACAGCTAACTTCATTGTTGCTGCTGTTTGCTTTTTTCTTTAAACTAAACATTGACTCTCATTTACTGTCAACCCTTGTAGTGTACAGTACTAATGTTTACTAAAGTTTGTTTCAGTTTCTCTATTGTTTTTTTTAGGTGATATCTGTGGCTGTGATAACATGAAACAGCGCAGACGCAGCAAGAGAGACACATTACTTCTTTAACACACACATTCTCACTGTCTGCACACATTCAAACCTGTGTGCTTAACACTAGAGAACTGCTTCTTCTGTTTGTGGGCCTTGTAACCAAACATGTTTGGACAGGCTAGTTAGTCTTTATAAAGTTCCTTTGGCCCCTCATGCTTAAAATTGCATAAGCTGATTGGTATCCAGTTTGCATGAAGCCTCTACTGAATGGCCTCCAAAACCTCCCCCTTTCTTATCTTTATTGTTGATCCCAAGGTGCCTTGTATTAATGATCTCATAGTGATGTGTGATGAAGTGTTTGAATTGCCAGGCTCCCACATTCTACTGTGTAGTGATACCAACCTGTTTAATCAGTGCTTAGTGCTGGATCATTCTTTGTCTTTTCTGTACTGTAATTGATATACGTTCATAGACATCAAAGTTCTTTCTTTAAACATTCCCTAAAATGAATTTTAGGAACATTATGGTGTTATGGAAGACAGTAAATGGTCACTGTTTTGGTTTTAATGTAGCCTGTTAACTAACAACATTTGAGGCACTGATCCTTTGCTAAACCCTGGCCCTAAACATGGAAATACTGCTGTGTAACTCGACCAAAAGCTAGCAAGTGCCAGATCACCACAAATGTCGTTTCAAAACACGAGGTAACCCAGGGATTAAAAGCAGGGTCATGGGACTGAATCATACTTCCAGTTGACAGGTTTTATAGGCATACAATTTAATATTAATAAGTAGGCTAGCATGTGATCAACAAATAGTGCATCACTTTTTCAGCCATCCATAAACTGACATATGTTGATACCAGCTATTTCTGTCTATTCAGACTTGGATCTAGCCCAGGGGTGTGTTCAGGGTCTGTCTAATTGACTATAGCAACAGGTCTCTTTTTCAATAGTTTAGCTTCACCATGGAAGTCTACTATATAATTTTTGACATGGTTTACAAATTTATTTAATTAGTACCACCATAGTTTTTTTACAGTACAACAGTTAATATGGTCAAAATACATGAAACTGGAACTGCCCCCCCTCCCCTTTTTATTTTTATTGCTGCTGTAACCCTACAGTTTCCTTCAGGATTAGTAATGTTTTTATCAATGTGTGTTTGACAGAATGGCCTTGTGACATCACCATCCTAGCACTTCTTTACATCCTTCGAGATATTTTGCCAAAGGACTTTCTTGTTTGGGTTGAAGAGCTTCAATGCCCTGTTAATTGTATTGCTTATGAACACAGAGACTGATATGGTTAGTCCAAGTTTTGTTTATTCCTCTGTGAAGAACTGAGTAATTAGCTTGATAAAAGCCATCCTGATTCTCCTGAGATTTCATTCTGACCATAATCATATCACTATGTTATTGTTAGAGCAAAACTGGAAGGCACTGGATTCAAAAGTAGGTGTGGCAAGAGTGCATATATGAACAAAACAACAAACAACACATGGAAGTAAAAGTTTTTGAGATGTTTTTATCACTAGAGTTTTGGTATTACTGGATGGTGTTGTCTTTGTAATGAAGTGACGCCATATGACTGCAGGCTCCCCTCAGTAATACCTCAGTAATACTACAGTGTGATTTTTTGCCCCTTTTTCATTCTGATGAGAGGTTTTCATGCTGCATTGCAGCCTTAATCATGTTTGTAATGCTACTGATGTCTGTATACAGTGTCTGCTTTTTAGAGTTGTGCCTGCCCCCAGCTGGTGCTGTAAACTCAAAAAAACTCTGCTAACATAATTTTGTTTCACAAGCATGTTTTAAATTAAAGCAGCTAATTATCTTCTCTTGTAGTATGTAAAACATGTTGAAGCTGGTAGAAAGTGAAACATGAAACTGTTGAAAAGAGACAGGTTGTGGCGACAGGGCCACTCCCACTGAAGCTATATTTCAAAACAAGCTTGGTCTTGTTGCTCTTGTCGCTGATTCCTAATGTGCATGGATCTATTTAACAACCTGAAAAAGTCATCGTCTGCATGGGCTTTGAAATATTCACATCAGAACAAAATGGCAACAAAAGGTAAATCATAAATTACTCTGCAGTCTGTTGTTGTCTTTATTCTTGAACTGATAAAGTTAAAAAGTACCAAAGAACTGATGTTAATGTAATATTATTGATTAATACTCTGTAATTAATGCATAGTAATGCATCATTTTTGCTTTGTGATACTGCTGCTTCTTTTTTATTTTTTATTTATTTATTTATTTCCTTTGTGAGAGGAGTTTTGAGGAAGCTTGTGTTGTGCAACAGTGCGTACTGTAGCATAAAATGTACGCAAGACGAACTACAGTAGACTAACAGAATTGTAGTAGAATAAATTGATTAAATCATATATATAATCAACATTATATATCAAAATCAAAATTGTATATCAAAATGAACACATTACGGGGAACATCGTTTTTAACCACACAGCTGAGCCTAGCAAGATGGTTAGTTTTCCGGTCCACATTTAGTTTCATAATGTTGTTCTTATTTTCATGCTTCCTTACAGCAATACCTGTAAAAATATTATTTAAACAGATTAGTCATGTTTAGACTACAAAGTTAGTACCTTTGATGTATAAATCTACACATTTAACATTTGGTAATACAAATGATACATACATACTTGCAATAAACACATTTTCAGTGCAAAAAAATAGCTATAACTGAGCTAAATGTGGCAGTGTTGGAGCCCTATTATCTGCATTGTTTCTACTGTAACTGAAAGTGAGACAGTAACCCAGTGGCAAGTACTACCTAGCAGTGTGGAAATCACCCAATAAATTGAACTAAACCCAGTATTTATGTAGAGAAAGAGAACACAGACTTTTATGGTGCACTTTTCCTGACCAGGTTATTTTCCCATACTGCCATAAAAGAGTCTCACCTGTAGTTACTATGTATAACTAGACATACAGTCAGCTGAGTTGATTTCTCAGTGATTTTAAAGAATGATAACAAGCAAATGTTTATGGCTGAACTTTTCAATTAGTCACATTTTTGAAACACTTTTATCAGGGTTCTTTTGATCTGGAACAATGTCATCATGCTGCTTTTATCTCTTCCAACTCCTCTTGTTTTCATTTCTACAGAAGACAACATCACTGGGCCTTGCTGCAGTATTGGAAGTCTGTTAAATCCACATAAAGCAGGAACAAAAACAGCTCACAACTCACAGCCATTTATCAAACCAAAACTGGGAATAATGAAGGTAATCAGCAATTTTAGCTGGCAGAAATTTGAGCAGTGAAAAATTTTTGAATAACAACACACCCACTAAAATACACAGTATACATGTTCACCATGCAGGCTTTTGCTAAACTCAGAGCTCATTCTAGAGCATCTTTTTGCTCTTTTGACTGAATGTCGTGTGTACAATGCATAACCTTTCTATATCTCTCTGTGTTCTAGCTGAAAGACCGACTCCTTAAAAAGTTCCATGCACAGATTAAGGTAAGACTGGTTTAGAAAATGTAATAACACTTGTTCTTTCAAGTTTTTCAAAATCCTTAACTACCTAACACTGTTCTTCATTGGACTAATGCTAGTCCTTAACACTTTCATTCATTTTCATTAATAACAGGCCTTCTGTTTTTAATGCATAATCTGATAATCACCGTAGAGTGCATTTGAATGGCTCTGTTCTTCCATGCATCTATTCTTCAGAAGCATACTAACAATGACAGAGAACAAACAGATTTCTCAATGGAGGTGTCCAAATGCATCCTGAGGGAGCTTGCAGCTGAACTGGACAGATTGGTCCCGGTACTGTCAATAGTTCATTATTTTTAGCATAACTGAAAACATTAAATTAATAAATAGCAAACTGACATATTTAAATGTCTAAATTTTCAGCTCAGAGAACTGCTTATCCAGTCTGAAGTGAGAGATGACAAAATTCATCAGGAAGAGAGCCAAACTCTGGTTCTGCAGTGGGCTGATGAGCTGAACTCCCAACAGCAAAAGAGAAAACAAGAAACCACACAGGTAAAGCAGAGACTAAAGTGATGAAAAGTCTTGCAGTCAAGTGCGTTCTGTTGCTTTCATTTTGTAATGTAATGTCACTCAAATCATGTTCATCCATTAATTCTCTAGGTGCTGACAGAGCTCAAGACAACAGAAGATGATGAAGATTCCCATAACCTGGACAAGGAACAGAGATTACAAGATGCGAAAATGATCCTTTCAGACTGGACCTGGAAACTTAAAAGCAAGGTTAGTGACTATATTAACACACTCTGTCTACGAATGTGTTCTATCTAATGGTATGTCTTGAGTACATCCTAATCACACAACTGGCTCTAGTTAAATAGCTGAAAAGAATATGACACTGGAAGGACAGTAATGGCGAGGTGGGTAGTAACTTCTTACATTTGCTCAGTTACTTATACAAAAGTAAATCTTCATGGATTTTTTTTTTGAGCATTTTGAGTATATTTCTATTTAAGTATATTTGTGAGGATGATTAATCTATCGTCACGTCTCAGCTTCCTAAAGAAAAATCTGGCTTCCAAAAACAATAAGAAAAACAGAAAAGAGAAAAGATGGGGAAACAGTATGTCACCCAGTTTTTCACAAAAAAGTGGGTGTAGTCTGTGAGTGCTGCCCTAGCTCCCCACACCTATACAGCTACCAGTGAACCAGCCCTGTCACCACACCCCTATACCCTTAGCAATGAACCAGCCCTGTGTCCTCATCCCCATACCCCTACCAAAGAACCAGCCCTGTCTCCTCATCCCAATATCCCTACTAATGATCCAGCCCTGTCACCCGACCCCTATACCCTTACCAATGAACCAGCCCTGTCTCCTCATCCCAATACCCTTACAAATGAACCAGCCCTGTCACCCGACCCCTGTACTCCTACCAATGAAGCAGCCCTGTCTTGCAATTCTCGCACCTCTTTTACATGCTTCCTCTGAATCCTGCAGGAAAACAAAACTAGCTATGCAGCTATGCAGATGACATCCAAATTTACAGTTATGGTCCTAACTCTTCATGCAAATACATTGATAACTAGATAACTGGATGCGTCATACTTTCCTCCATCTGAACAAGAACAAAAAGGGATTGTATTTGGCTGCAGTGAGGAAAGACTTGTGGTTAGAGTTCATCTTGGCTCCAATGTCTAAATGGTACAACACAAGTAAAAAGCCTTGGCGTCTTAATGCTGCTGCCAAAATATTAGCCAAGACAAAAATGTCTTTCATTCAGCAACAGAATAGATTTAAAAATATTCCTACTGGTCTACACATCACTTAATGGACCATGCTGACATAAAAAAAAATACAGCCCTACTAGACATCTTAGACCACAAGAATCTGGCCAGTTAACAGTGCCTAGAACCAGAACTAAACATGGTCAGCCACTACACTACAGTCAGTTGGCATAAACTCCCAGAAGCTGTCAAGTATTCACAAACTCAGTTTGCAAAAGCAGACTGAAAACCTACATTTCTTTTGCGTTTCAGACTCCTTAAGCAACTGCACTTTGCATCTTTTTGCTGGTTCTTTTGCTGTGTTTAATTTCCTGTGCTCTTTATGCTAGATGACTTTGAATTGGTTTCTGTCTGCTGAATTGTTTGAATTCCAGTGCATGATAGAAGAAAGGTCAAAAGATAGCATGTAGAAAATCGAGTTCCAAGTCAGTTTCTTTTTCAGTTAATCAGACCACAGTGTTCCTGTTAAGGGTGTATTCACATTATGGAGACTATATGTTTGATATATAGAAATCTCTAAGTAATAAAAACACTGGAGAGTTAGATTTTACATGTTAAATGTGGAATTTATTGCACACTACTTCTGTTTCTTTAGGAGTCAGTGAAACTTGGAGAGGAGTATAAAACTGTGTTACAGGATCTCTGTAAACAGTGGAAGAAAGGGAAGCTGGTCAACATTCTACCTATCATGGACTTCATAATCAGGATTTTACTTCAGAAAAACAAGACTGAGGTACATATAGTCATGAGTTTAGTGGGTTGTAAACAACAGTAAGCAACATATGCAGTATGATCATGAAGTGTGTGCATCATGATGAATTTAGATCATTTGAACAGTAATTATGTCAATGCATGTTGTGGGTACTCATATAACCTTTTTATTTCACCTTAGGAATCCATCCTTAAACAGTGGTTTAGGAGTGAAAAGGTGTTTAGGAAAGCAGGTGAGAAAAGGTGCTGTTTTTTCCTTTATATGCAAAGCTCAATTTTTTTTTTAAACCATCTCAATTTCTGAAATTTCATAATGATATGGATGTTCTCTATGATGTAGATAACTTCAGCATGTTTTATGAGATTCAAAATTCTTCTCAAAAGGAATAATATTGTTTTATTTCTGCAGGGGGCTTGTATATCCCTATTCCAGGTGAGTTTGTTCTTCTTGATTTTTACTTCAGTTCGTTGTTTGTTTACTGTTGGCCCGTTTCATTTACCCATTCAATCATCTTTTTCAGTGTGGAATTGCATCACAAGACATCCAGGTATTGCATTTTGACATCTTACAAAGCATTTGTATGAGTAAATGAAAAAAGTACATCAGAATTTAAATAATGCAGATATTTTATGACAATAATATGCTACTTTCGCTCTGCTCCTTGTTCTTTTTGAAACATTCTCTTATTGTATGTTTATATGTTCATCAGATTACTTTTTTTTTTTAAAGCTGAAGTTATTCTGGATCCAGAAACAGCAAATCCTGATCTTATGGTGTCTAAGGATGGGCGCTTTGTGAGAACAAAGACTCACGAAGAATCCACACCTGATCCCTGGGCTGAATATCAAAGAAAACATTCTAAGTATGATGGCTGGACGTGTGTCCAGGCTAAAAAGGGCTACACAACAGGCAGGTGTTATTGGGAAGTTGATGTGAGGGGGAAATATGAATGGAGAATAGGTGTAGTGAAGGAGTCTGCCCCACGACATGGTTATGTTAAAATGAACACAACAGTAGGGTTTTGGACTCTGCGTCTGCAGCTCGGCTCTCTGATGGCTCTGACTGATCCAGTCACCAAACTCAATCACATTGCTCTCTCTAAGATAGGAGTAAATTTAGATATAGAGGAAGGCCGAGTTTCTTTCTATGACTCAGAGAGAAGGAGACATATTTACACATTTAAAACAAACTTCAGTAAGTCTGAGAGAATTTACCCTTTGTTTGGCACAGTGGAGACAGACAGAGCACTGAGGATTATTTAAGTCTGGCCGTTTGATTTCACCTTCTTTCTAGGTGAAACACTGACCATTTTCAATGTAGAGTTAACAGCCTTCTCTTTCCAAAATGCATCCTCTCTAACCTCACCTTTCTGACCTTTTCAGAACATTACCAATCTGACACATCAATAAATCTAACATCAGTTGAGCTCCTAATTACTCTTAGAATTTTAATTGTTAAAACTTTTTCACTTTGTGTTTGACTTCACTGTCATTTCAAGGAGATACTTATGTTTGCTGCAAAAAGTCACACAGCTTTTCAGCAGCAGGCCTAATTTATCAGGGTTCAGCTGAACAGTGAGAATCAGTTTTTGTTGTATCTTAACTGTAATCCTGTATTCAGCTACACCATGAGGCTCCTAGATCAAACAAAAGTCTTGTTATTCAGCATTCAGACTAGTCAGAAGTCTTGTTACTCAATTTCTACAGTCTTCAACACTGGACCCTGAATCCAGTTTCTGTATCCAAGACCCCTGCAAGACTTGAAGAGACCTGAAGGCTTGTAACTTAGTCTCTGCAACAACCAGAAGTGTAGCATGTAGTACGTAGCGCTGTAATCTCCATAGTCAAACACTGGAAGTAGAATGGATCATAATGAAGAGCTCTGTGACTCAGTGACATTACATTTCTGCCCTGCTAGATCTGCTCCAGTCAATTTTAAGTGCAATTACTGTGCAGTGGAAGCATCTAGGAGCAACAACAGCTTAGCCATGAAGCAGTAGACCACACAAACTTATCAAGTGAGGCCATCGAGTGCTGAAGCACAAAAAAAGTGTGAAAAATCCTCTGTTGCATCACTTACTACAGAGTTCCAAACTACCTCTGTAAGCAACATCAGCACAAGAACTGTGCATTGGGAGCTTCATAAAATGGGTTTTTATGGCCAAGCAGCTTCACACAAGCCTACGATCACAATGCACAATGCCAGGCTTTGGCTGGAGTGGTGTAAAGCAGGTGGACACTGGACAGTGGAGTGGTGGAGACGTGTTCTCTGGAATGGTTAATCGTGCTTCACTATCTGACAGTCTGATGAACAATTCTGGGTTTGGCAGATGCCAGGAGAATGCTGCGTACCAGAATGCCAGTAGTACAGTTTGGTGGAGGAGGGATGTTTTTCAGGGTTTGGGCTCAGCTCATTAGTTCCAGTAAAGGGTAATGTTAATGCTACATCATACAAAGACTGTTTAGATAATTATATGCTTCCAACTTTGCGGCAAACGTTTGCGGAAAGGCCCTTTCCTGTTTCAGCATGTTCCAACTGTGCCTATGTGCACAAAGTGAGGTCCATAAAGACATGATTTGATTAGTTTGGTGTGGAGGAACTCCAGTAGCCTGCCCAGACCCCTGACCTTAACACCAGTAAACACGTTTGGGATAAATTTGAACATCGATTATGAGCCAGGCCTTCCTGTCCAACATCTGTGCCTAACCTTACAAATGCTCTTTTGACTGAATAGGCACACCGCACACCGGCTCCCTCTGCACTAAAAGCCAGGTTAGATCAGGAGTCACAACCCAAATGATAAGAAGAGCCATTTTGTCCTTTCAACAAAAATCAAACCACCTTGGGAGCCACAACATTTAATGCCCAGTGTCTCAGTATGTGATAATGTCCTAGTATGGGCTCAAACGATATAAATGAGAGCGCAGATTTACTTTGCTCTGCTCTAAGCTTTAATAGCTGCTTTCCTCCCATCTCCGCCCGGAAAACTTTTCCTCAAAACTAGAGCAGTTTATTGTAAAATGTCTCTCAGCGTTCGACTGTCTTACGAGGCTGAAGTCGCTTCTCATTCTCCAGCTTCTAGTTCGAATTTTCCCGTTCCACCTTAAATTCTGACTGAGGTGCCGAATGTAAAAGCGGCACCATTTAAGGTGGAACGGGAAAATTCGAAAGATAAGTGACTTCATCTTCGCAACCATTTAGTGTTTGACTGTCTCTCATTGCAGATTTAACTTGCTAGGAAACCAACTGCGCTGCTTATAAATGCGAATAACGCATTGTTGCTATGTGACCTGCAGTCTACACGCCAATTCTCAGTCGTTGCGAAACAGGGCTTTGCGCTATGTTGCACACGTCCCGTCTCAGAGATATTTTACTGACACAGAGAGCCTTCTAGTTCACTTGCCACATCACTTCCATTTGATTTATTAATAAAAGATATTTGAAGTAAATTCAATATGGATCATTACAAATACTTTGCTTTAAAACTACCAAGGCCTCAGACAGTAGGGAAATAGAAATCCTGTATAGAAAAAAAAAGATGCATCAAGATGCATCGATAATCATTTTATATTCGCAACGCAGCCCTCTGAATCGTCATCGAATCGAATCGTGAGGTGCCTCGAGATTCCCACCCCTATATGTAACACTAAAAGTAAAAAATAAGATAAAAAATATAAACTCTATCCTTCACAAAGATTAACAATATAAAGGATTATAAATAAATAAAAGCTAAAATATTTACACTGTGATTATACGTTACTCTAAATTCAGATGGAGTATTGCACGTGAGGTATTGATTTATATTACACATGGGAAAGGTGAGGAGTTAACAATATAAACATTATAAATAGAAAAGCAAAAAATCTTTACACTGTAGATATATTTTAAAAATATTGTACATATTGAGTATTGGTTATATTGCACACAGGAAATAGTGATGAATTCTACAGTTTATGCTCTGTAGGTGTGTGAGGTCTAATGGGGAGAGGGGAGTTCACTGGGAGCAGTGCTGCTTGTACAGTCTAACAGCAGCAGGAAGGAAGGACCTGCGATAGCGCTCCTTCACACACTTGGGGTGAAGCAGCCTGTCACTGAAGGAGCTGCCCAGTGCTGCCAGAGTCTCATGCATGGGGTGGGAGTTGTTCTCTAGCATGGATGCTAGTCTGGCTAATATCCTCCTGTCTCCCACTGTCTGCACTGGGTCTAGGGGGCTTCCCAGGACAGAGCTGGCCCACTTAAAGGGGAGTGCCAGTTTCACATTAATGCCCATGTTTTCGGAATGGTATGTCCAGCAGGCACATATAGATGTCACAGTGATGTCACATACTTTTGACCATATAGTGTATTTTACTTGTGAATATATGCAATATAGTTAGTTGTTCCTGAAAGCTTTCAGTGGCCATTAAGAATTGCCCAACATCAACTTTCTGGTCCATCTCTGTTGTTGCAATACCAGAAAGTGGCAGGCTGCAGTAATGCATCTGGTGTAATAGTTCCTTTTCTGATGGAAGATGCAAAACTATTCTAAAATGGTAAATACACAATTTAACCATGTAAATGATCTAAGTTGTGCAGGCTGTATAAAAGTTCATAAAACTCTGTGCCTGTCAGTATCTCTTATGATGTTGCTTACATCACTCATGATCTTATAATTTTAAAATGTAGATAGCAAATGCATAGACAATATATTGTGTTTGGTTAGTTTCTGTCAAAGACTGACATCATATCTTGTCTTAATACAAGTTTCAATCTGTAGTCTCTGTAACATAAGCTGTAATGTTTAATAAGATGAAATTACCCATAAAATAATGTTAATAAATGTAACTTTTCAGTAAATCCTTGTAATTGTTCTTAATGTTAAGCTAGACTATTGATTATGCAAGCCTGACTCTGATGTTGTGAAGAATATATTCTGATATCGAATGTGGAAGCATAAAGATTCTTGAGTTGATCTAATGAATGTTTATTTTTAAGCTTAAATGATTGTATCCTTGAATTGGCCTGTCTAAGAATTCCCAAGATGGAACATGGAGATGAATGGAATTTAGATAATATTTTGAGGTCTGGAGTTGTGTTGTCATCAGTAAACTTGAAGACTGTGTTTTGAGTCTCTTAAACCTAAATAAATCTCTGAACAGGCTTTTGCAGCAAATTCGGTTACCGCATGTAAATACATTAATACAGGAATGATGACATTACTGCTTAAAGGCTACCACGTTAAGACAGCCAAAGAGTCTTATTACTCTGGTCTGATTCACACTTTGGCTTAGTTATGTGTGAAGGGACATTTCTAAAAATGTCACAGTAAAGCCTTTAAACTACCATTCAAACCTATAGGATTAAAGATCTAGTTGACAAGCTTAATCTCCAGACACTGTTAGCTAGATATCTATATGCCAGGGTTCTAGTTTACAAAAGAGTAAAAATCATAATTGCGCATGCCGACTATGAAATTTAATGGAAAGTGGTTTTCTCTGAGTATGCAAAGTAGGCTCTGTACCTATTCAATAGAATGCTTTGGAATTCCTTTGTGTGTAACATTAAAGCAGAAAAAAACATCAGTAAGCAGTTGAAGCGTAATGGCCTAAATTGTGTAGCAAGTTGAAATGATGATGAAATGATGATATTGTATAAAGATTGAAAATGTACTTGCTTGATTGTGAAGTGACAGAACAAGAAGACATACTGTTCACAAAATGTTTATAAAACACAAATGATCATGGAACGTTAGAATGGCAGGAGTGAAAATGCATGTAGCTGTCAAGGGATTGTCTGTCAGAACAGTTTATCATATGGAATAAATAAGAATATGCTAAAATATATTTACATTTATCAAATTATAGTAATAGATCTCAGCTCCACTTGCTGTTTACACAAAACTAGGTAGGGTGTCTTGGAGGTCCAAAATCTAGCATGTTTGGTGATTCACTTATTCAAACACACCTGATTTATTTCATCTTCAACTCAATATTGTACACATTTGTGCCTAAAATCCCCCCGTAATTTTACAGTCATTGATTACATTTGTTTTCTTTCATGTGTAAATCTTTTTAAATGTACACAAAACTTTTTTTTAGTTTGAATACTTTTTAATAGAAGTGAAAGAAACAACAGCACGAGAGACTGAGGCATCTTGTCAAATGGTTAAGTTGTCACACTTTATTGTTTCCAACATCTTTTGCTAATGTCACATGGGTAAGTCAATGTTCACTGTTTCCAACATATCTAATCTGGGAAAGGCAAGACAGACTGTAAGATGAGGTGGGCACAGATTTGCTGTTTTCCATGTTCTGAAGTAAAAGATTAGAACATTAAATTTTTTTGTAATAATGTTCCTTTTTGTAATACATACATACATACATACATCATCTAAACCGCTTATCCTTCTGGGTCGCGGTGGGGTGCTGGAGCCTATCCCAGCTGTCATTGGGCGGAAGGCAGGATACACCCTGGACAGGTCGCCAGTCCATCGCAGGGCTTTTTGTAATAATTTTCCTCTAATTATTTTGCATCTTCACAAGTGTACATTTGCACTTAGTAGAGGAGAGAGTGTAGTGTATTGTTATACCTTTTGGTAATGTCTTACCCTAAGCTAACTTTACAATATAGCAAACATGGCATTTTGGGGCAAGTTACTACATATGAAAAACTGCCATTGTCACTTATACATCAGACTCACATGGAGCTAAAAGGCAGGCACAACTAAATATAGATTTATTTCAATGTTTGAAATGTTTTATTTGAAAGACTGTTCAGTTCTTGTAGTTGGGACTGATCCTGCCTTCCGCCCAATGACCGCTGGGATAGATTCCAGCACCCCCACCCCCCCACCCCCCCGCGACCCAGAAGGATAAGCGTCTTAGAAAATGTGTCTGTGTGTGTAGTTGGGACTTTTTTAACAAACATAAGAATTTCATGGTCAAGCAGGGGCAGAGCCAGAACATTTTTACAGGGGTGCTGAAACATATAGAGGGTGTGCAACACCTACGGCCATAGGGGCTACGGCTGGGGGCGGGGACTGGCCTAAGGTTTAATATGAAGATTCAACATGAAGTCAAGTCAGGTCAAGTCAGCTTTATTGTCAATACTACAATATGTACAGAACATACAGAGTATTGAAATTGCGTTACTCTCAGACCCCATGATGTAGCAATAACATTAAATAGACAGTAAACAGGAAATGTGTTTATTAATTAGACACTAAATAAAACTAAACACTAAACACTAATCAGAAAAATAAACATTAATTGTAGAAAAATAGAATAATAAAAAAATAATACAAATATAAGAATGTCCCTGAATTTAACAATAAAGTGACATAAGTGACATAAGGCACATACAGATTAAGGTCTGTGGGTATAAATTGCAATTATGAACAGTAGTGCAATTAGAATGAGCTTATGGAGCAGTTAAAATGATGAGTGCATAACAGAAAGTGAGAGTTCAGTATTGGGGAGTGGGGGTCAGGAACCTGTGTTTGGGTCCAAACTTTGTGTGTGTGGGGGGCAGAAGTGGGGGAGGGGGAGCAAAGTAGGAAGAGAGTTGACTCCTGACAGCCTGGTGGATGAAGCTGTCCGCCAGTCTGCTGGTCCTGGCCCGGAGACTCCGCAGTCTCCTCTCTGATGGCAGCAGGCTGAAGAAGCTGTGTAGTGGGTGAGTGGGATCACCTGCCATGCAGAGGGCTTTCCGGGTGAGACGGGAGGTGTATATCTCTTGGAGGGAGGGGAGGGAGGTGCCAACAATCTTCTCACGATGCGCTGGAGTGACTTGCGGCAGCACACGGTGCAGGCGCCGTACCACACAGTGATGCAGCTGGTCAGGATTCTG